AAAGATACTCTGATCATTCTCTGCATAAAAGAAAGAGAAATATTTCCAAGTCAATGAAAAAAATTGGAACATGTCCTTTTCTAGGAGAATATTATCCACAAACTTTGCCTGTATAGTTTACTTCTGGTAGCTATTCAGCACTAGAAACAAAAGGCTTGGCAAAATTTAGCAAAACATCTTACAAGTTTATTCGCCTAAAAATAGGATATGCTTCCCCAAGTTGGACAATGGCAAATGGTTTAAATAATTGGAGCAGATATCCCCTCGTTATTTTTATGGGAAGGCAGTTGTAAATATGGAGTCGAAAAGCAACCATGCTCAGATATACAAAAGAAAACTCTAACATCTAATGCAAGATACCATCTATTCGGAATGATAAATTTGTCTATATTGTTACATTATGGCAATTACAAGAGGAACAAGAATAATGCTGTTGAAAAATAGCTGCAGGAGAAGTATGAAATTTTTCTACTTATTATGCCATTTCCTCGAGTTTCCTAAAATTTCCAGTGTATTCTGCTACAATTCCTGAATGACTTGTTTCTTCAATTTCTTCTTCATATTTTAGCTTAAGGGCAACAAACGAGATATTATATGGTGCATGTGTGAATCCACCATTGTTCTACCTGTGCTGAAACGAAACAAAGAAACAATAATGATGAAGAAGCTTTAGGACATTCAGATGCTAAAATTCTAGAGGTAGCAAATGAAGTTACCTCCATAGAATGGCGGAACACCACTGAGTAGAATGTACAGGATAACTCCAGCACTCCAAATATCAGCTTCAGGTCCATATTCTCGACGCAGAACTTCAGGAGCGACATAATATGCACTACCAACTAGGTCTTTGAACACATCACCTGCATCAACGAGTGGTTTTTGAATAGGTCACCCCTATATCCCAAAGAGTTGTAAACAAGTGGTCCAGCTAAAAACTTAACGGAACATAAGATAAAAGAGACATGATCCAAGTAACACAGGCTTGAGTTTTGTTACAAGAATGGCTTCTTGATTTGCATGAACTACATGAGATTAATCCTAATTATGAATTCAATGCTTTTCTTATACTTCATTGACCTTAACAAAATTTAGTAACTATATCATCAGAACCAGATATGGTTGAGATTTGGGGAGTCAATAGTAAGTCTTGAAACTAATTTACTAACAGGAATATGGGATTCGTTGTTCGAGATTGACCCTTCTAATAGGTCAGGCACTCAGGCTTGATTTCACAAAACAGAACACACTGGTTAACTCAATCATCTTTTTTCTTATTGTCTTGTGTCTTACAGTAAGCATTTGGAAAGCAAATAAATTTGTCTACCAGAAAATACCATTGTAACCTATGTTCGACCTACATGAATCACGATACTAGGTCCCCAATGAGATGACTGGTTGTTGAGACATAAGAGTAACAAACTGGAGATCCCAGGTTCAACTCTCCATTATGACACTCAATGTGAGCTCATTTGCTCCAGCTCATGGGCAGGTTTAACTGGCAGTTATGTTTGTAGGTTGCAGTAGGTTACCAGTTTTCAGTCGAGGTGTGAATGCTTGACTGAACACCATCATCATTAAAAAAAAAAAATCAAGAGACTGCACGGACGGTGTAATAGAGTTTAAGTTCTATGCACCAATGGTGCAAAAGTTATTTATGCAATCTGATTGAAGGGAATCGAAGATAACTCTAATAAATAGCATTGATTGAACCTGCTATAACAAGTTAAATTATAGTGATGGCGTAAAAGAACATTACTATCAGTGTATAATATTACATTATCAATGCATATAACATAAAATTAGCCTTACATAGAGTTAACTGCAATTAGATTGTGTAATAGCAATATTTACAGTGTCAGTAAACAGAATTTCGTTTGAAGAAGACTGATAATACCTATCCAATAATACCTGGTTTGAAGAAGACCGATAATCCAAAATCAGTAGCCTTCAACGGTGAACTTTCATCGGAGCTCAAAAACAAGAAATTTTCCGGCTTTAAATCCCTATGCATAACGCCCATAGAATGACAATAATGAACCACCGTAACCATCTGCCGGCAAAGTCCGGCGGCAGCTCGTTCGGAATAGTGTCCTTTAGCAATTATCCGGTCAAAAAGCTCGCCGCCGGCACAAAGTTCCATGACGAGGTGAACGTGATGCTTGTCCTCGAACGTTCCTTTAAGTTCCACGATGTTCCGGTGACCGGTTAAGTGGTGCATGATCTGAACCTCGCGGCGTACGTCGTCCACGTCGTCAGCCGCTATGAGCTTTCGCGTGGCGATTGACTTGCACGCGAATTGCTGGTGCGTTTGTTTGTGAGTTACTAAAAAGGTTACTCCAAATTGTCCGCGGCCGAGTTCGCCGCCGAAAATGTAGGTGGAACGAACGTCTTCCATTGGTTTGCCGAGGACACGGCCGATTCCGGAAAGTGGTCGGGGAGGTGGCGGTTGAGATGAAGGGATGATTCGGATACCGGTGGTTTCAGACGGCGGTGGACCGGTGGCGCCGCCTGAGGATATGGTGGTAGTTTGGTCGGAAGATGAGCTGTTACAGTTGCCCATTTTTTGGGGGTGTGTGAGGACTGTTCAGTCAAACATTTTGTTGAGCTATATTTGCTGACTTGTCCGAAAAATGTGAGCATTTACTCATTGACTGAAATGACAGAATTGACCTTAGCAAAATTGGGCAATAATGTTCTTTAATTAGAATCTTTGAATTTGAGTTTTGAAAATGGGAATATTTAGGTCGAAACGAAAATTAAGCAACATGAGATAAGAAATTCAATCTTTACTTAGATTTCAAGCATTAGTCTTGATTTTTAAGATGATTCTCTTTCGACTCTTCCTCTGAGAAAAAAAGGATTCAAGGAACGTCTTGAAATAAAACAATGCACTGTTGTTGGCTCTAACGGAGGAGTCTGAAATTAACAACGTGTCACTGCTTGGGCATTAAATTCTTGCTGCTTGAGAAAGCATATGAGGAAATGTTTTGATCCCTTAATAACATCTCATCCTTAATCAGAGGTTTCATATTCGAATATGGATATGGAGTCGCCAGCTCGGGTTCATGCCGGGTCGTTCCACCATAAAAGTTATACACCTTGTTAGGAGGTTGGTGGAACTGTATAGAGAGAGAGAAGGATCTGCACAAGGTGTTTATTTACCTGGAGAAAGCATATGACAAGATTCCTAGAGAAGTTCTCTGGAGATGCTTGGAGGCAAAAGGTGTGTCGGTTCCTTATATTATGACAATTAAGGACACGTATGATGGGGCTAAGACTCGGGTTAGGACAGTAGGAGGCGACTCTGAGCATTTTCCGGTTGAGATGGGGTTACACCAATGCTCTGTGCTCAGTCCATTCTTATTCGCCCTGTTGATAGATGCGATAACAAATCATATTCAAGGGGAGGTATCGTGGTGCATGCTATTCGGCGATGACATAGTTCTGATTGATGAGTCACGAGCCCGTGTTAATGAGAGATTGGAAGTTTGGAGACATACGCTTAAGTCTAAGGGTTTCAAGCTAAGCAAAACGAAGACGGAATACCTCGAGTGTATGTTCAGCGCCGAGCCAGGGGAAGTGGACGCGGATGTGAGGCTTGCGTCATAGGTTATCCCAAGTAGAGGCAGCTTCAAGTACCTTGGTTCGGTTATCCACGGGGAAGGGGAGATCGACAAGGATGTCACACACCGTATTAGGGTAGGATGGATGAAGTGGAGGTTAGCATCTGGAGTCTTGTGCGACAAAAGAGTGCCAACGATACTCAAAGGTAAGCTCTACAAAGTGGTGGTTAGACCGGTCATGATGTATGAGGTTGAGTGTTGGCCTGTTAAGAACTCACATATCCAAAAGATGAAAGTAACAGAAATGAGGATGTTGAGGTGGATGTGCAGGCACATTAGGATGGATAAGATTAGGAATGATGATATTCGAGAGAAGGTACACGTGGCTCCCATTGATGAGAAGATGCGGGAAGCGAGGCTCAGATGGTTCGGGCATGTACAGAGGAGAAGCCCAGATGCTCCAGTAAGTAGGTGTGAGCGGCTGGTTGTGGAAGGCACAAGAAAAGGTAGAGGGCGGCCTAAGAAATATTGGGGAGAGGTGATTAGGCAGGATATGGCGAGGCTTCAGGTTTCCGACGACATGATACTTGATAGGAAGTTGTGGAGGTCGAGTATTACAGTTGTAGGCTAGGAGGTAGTTGAGTCTTGCGTTACTTTGTGTCTTTGTGAGCCTAGTCCGGTAGGATTTTGTCTAAGATAGCTAGGGGTAATGTCGTTTCTTACTATTTTCTATTGTCGACGCAGGTTTCACTTACTAGCCATCGTTTTTGCTTTACATTTTTCTTCTGCATTTTATGTTCCTATATTTCCTATGATCTATGTGATGAATCTAATATTCTCTCCCTTTGTCTTTTTATTATCTTGAGCCGAGGGTCTTTCGAAAACAACATCTCTACCCATTCGGGGTAGGAGTAAGGTCTGCGTACACACTATCCTCCTCAAACCCCACTTGTAGGATTCTACTGAATTGTTGTTGTTGTTGTATATGGATATGGAGTTGTTTTTGACGGAGAGCGTTTTGCTCTCAAAGTGGAATTTTCCGATGTAAATCAAGATTACTCGAGTCAAACGGATACCAAACACTGGATATAGAAAATCAAAAAGAAAAGAATAGTACAAAATAACCCTCCGATATTTTATATTAGCATCCTTTAATCTAATTTTTTTTTTGCAAATTTTTTTTCCCCATAAAACATTTAATATTTTGAGAGATAGACTTCTTTAGCTTGCCAGTTGCCACTTGGCAGTTAGGAATAATACAATCCAAAACAGGGTTATGTCATCCCAACAGCACCCCACAAATTATGTTGTAGTAAATAATTATTTAGGACAAAGATAGTTTATTTTTGAATAGCATATAATAAAGCATTGACTCACTGAAAACTGAATAATGGCAAAGTTTGATAACTTAAAATTGTGTGTGTGGGGGGCAGCATGCTATAGAAATAAAGTTATAATGAGTTACTCATACTACCTCAAAATATTTACAAGACCAAAGCTACAAGAAAACAGCTATGTACAAATGTACATTAAAGCCAATACTGGACACCAAACTCTTACACTTACTTTCAGCCTAGAACCTCCCCTTATTACCACTATATACTATAACGTCTCTCTACTTGCACAAGGTAGGGATAATGTATGCGTAACCACTACCAGTATAGTAACCGCCTTAGCTAGGCCCGTGTACACGCTCACGATCTGAGCCAAAGCCTCCTGAAGACCTGGTATCACAATAGGTACCAACAATAGGTACCGCCGGTGTCTGAGCTGATCTCCAGACCCCACTAGCACAAGGGTGTCTTGTTTTTTGTTGTTGTACTATAACAGTAGTAGGTTCAAGTCGAAACCCAACTTCACAAATGAAAGATAACAGCTTCTCAATCACCATAATAGTGAACAAGGTAGATAACAGAAATTGACACAAACATCCGGAATTCTCAAGGCTTACAACCAAAATGCAAGGATGAAGCGGCTAGTGTATCTCACATGTAGTTTTTAGGCGTTACCAAAAGGTTTCCCTGGCGCGGATGTAGTCATTGTGCCCCTGGTGCAGTTTGAACCACCGGCCAGCATTGCCATCAAACTTCCTCCGTGCACTCTTCCCTCGGAAACTGATGATGAGCTTCCACCAACTGGCGTATTCCCTTCCTTTAACTCAAAAGATTTCCAACCGGTAGATGTCAAAATGTTATTTCCCATCTTCATAATATCAATATACATATCCTGTACATTGGCAATCTCCTTCATCTTCCCCAGATTTTGGGGTGTTGGATCCAAGACCACAGCCCCTAGAGTGGCACCACCATGAACACGTTTGTCTTGCATCAGAGCACCATGAGATACACGTGTCGTCCCTCTGGCGAATGAGTTACAAGGATTATCATGGCCAAACTCGGAACCAGGTTGACCCCAAGAACATCTTTTTCCACCACCGTGGGCCTTGCAGAAATCGGTGCTTCCTTGAGCACTTTTTCCACAGCCGTCGAATTTGCATCTTTTACCACCACCATGGCGCACGCAGAAATCAGTCCGGCCCCTAGCACTCCTGGAGCACTCTGGGAAAGCACATCTCTTACCACCACCATGCGCCACACAGAAGAGAGTCCCTCCATGCACACTCTTTGGGCAAACCCCGCCTCCTTGGAATGTACATCTTTTCCCTCCACCGTGACCCTTACAGAAAGGCGTGCTCCCCTCTGCGCCCTTATTGCACCCTTCAAATATGCAACGTTTCCCACCACCGTGGGCCTTACAAAACAAGGTGCTTCCTTGCGCCCCTTTAGTGCATTGGGGGTACTGACACCGCCGGCCACCTCCATGTGAAATGCAGAGGCCAGAGAGTCCTTCCGCACTTTTCGTGCAATTCTCCATCTGGCATCTCTTGCCCCCACCATGTCTAATGCATAATCCAGACTTCCCTCTTGCAGCCCGCGTGCAGCCTTCGTGACTGCAACGGCGTCCACCCCCATGCGTGATGCAGAAATCAGTGCGTCCTTCTGCACTTTTGGTACACCCTAGGAATTCACACCGCCTACCACCGCCATGGGCCTTGCAGAATGCGGTTCGACCCTCGGCTCCCTTATGACAGCCCGGTTTCTGACACCTACGGCCTCCACCATGGGCAATGCAAAGGCCAGAAGCACCTCTTGCTCCTTTAACACATCCCTTGAACTGACACTGTTTTATACCACTGTTGCGCTGCTGCTGCTGATGCTTTGTTGACCCGGAAGTACAGGTTACTGAGCTTTTTGGATGTGTTATTACACTTGAGGAGGGATCAGGAGAGACTGGAGATGGCTCAACTTCTTTTATTGCCTGCTTCGAGAAGAAATTAGCCTCTTTGTCCTGTGGCGCATGCAATGGATGAAAAAAGCTACCAGTATTCCGATAAGAACCTGTCGATACTTCATCAGTATGAAAAGCTCCACCAAAACCGTGTGGCACAGTAGTAACATCAGATTCAGCGGCACTACTGGAAAGACTCAGTTCCAGATCAATTGCAGTCCCTGCGTCAAGTACTTTTGGAATGGAGATAGCTGAACTTTTCGGCCTTGCTGTCGTCTCATTGGCAAGATAAAAACCGAAGTTCACTTCCAGGTCCATCAAGGACTTGTGAGTTTCTTTTACTGGAGATAGTGAGGTGCATAAAATGCCTGAACTCCACTTACTTTCCGTGGAAGTTGATGAATGGCCTAAACTTAGACATAAAGATGAATCAATTTTCTGATCAATTTCCTTTGGGGAATGGACTGAAGGTATTAGAGACCCAACCGAATCAAGACGCAGGGTGGTATCAGCACAATAACCACCTTCAGCTACAGCTCCGCCAATTGGGATGGAATTGCCCAGATTTTTGGATGCATTTAAAAACGGGTTCGCAGCAAATCCCAAATAGTGGAATCTGGGATCCATGACTAGGATGAAAAATTACTATTGAACCAAATCTCAATTGCAAAAGAACAGTCGGCCTGACTTCCAGGCTAAAAAATAGTTAGCGGCTAAACTAGGGTTAGATGTGTCAAAAAGAGCACATCCCACCCCCGCTTACGAATCCTGAAGTGTCCTTTCTATCCATTATAGATATCAAACTTTACTCCAAGTTCTTGTAATCAGCACAAATGGAGTAAAACTTTGTGCAACGTCAAAACCTCCAGCGTCAAATCATGACAAATAATCATCCTGCACAACACATTGAATTACATTACTGAGCAGGTCTAAGATCACACATTCACTGTACAGAAGACACGAGGTCGAGACAATATGAAAGGGAAAAGATTTAGCAGACACAAGCCAGAAAGATGAAGATCATTTAAAAGTGGAACAGAATATTTCTTTTACTGAATCAATACGCCAAGCAAATAAGAAGAAAATTTAATGAACTTCCTTTTATTGTCCCAAGCTAAAAAAACCACTTTGATTTTGCCATAAAACCACAAGGAACAGATTCATTTGCATTAAAAATTTAAATCATATTAAAACTTGATAACTTTGCTGTCCGAGATAACAGAAGACCACAAGGATATCAACTAAGGCAAACTCAGCAAAGCAGGACATGAAGAAGAAACATGAATTTGTCTACTTACGCAAATAGGGTTCTTCAATAAACCTCAATTCATGGTCTACCATACTAATGAATCATGTTGCTTAACTACACTTTCCTACTTGCTGTTTAAATCCAAAATTTCAGCCGAACTATTTGAAATCCGAATAGACACTCGAGATTCAGTTTCCTTTTTTGCTCCCTCCGCACTATCCAGTTTCAAAACTGTATTAACAGGAGACAAACGAGGAAAATGAAAACGGTTTTAAATACCCCAAAAACAAACAATATAGTCTAAACTAGACATAACCAAGATACAACTAAATAATTATCTTTTTTTCTTGACATGTATAACTGTAACAATATATCAACAACAACAAAAAACCCAATGATTCCCCACAAGTGGGGTCTTGGGAGGGTAATGTGTACGCCGGGTAAGATTACCCCTACTCTGAGAGCGCAGAGAGGCTGTTTCAAGTAGACCCTCGGCTAAAGAAAACTATAACAATATATCAGAAGAAATGCAACATAAGCATAAAAAATAGAAGAACAAACTTATTAAAGATGTTCAATCTAGCTAAAGGATAAAGATTTGAAGACTCGAGTTCTAGAAGATGTTCAAATCGAAGTTAAAAGGAACTAGCTTCCAATCAGATTCAGGGTCCACGACTCAATGAAAAAATAAAATTATGCACTTTATTTATTATTTATTACGGATTCATTTATTATTTATTAAGGAGCGTGGCGTGAAAAGTCAAAATGTGTCAAGTAAAAGCGACAGGAGGGAGTAGCATCTAACAGTATTGTTAGAGTTCAAGACTACAGATTTCAGCTAAAAATCCCACCTTTTTCTTTTTTTGCACAAAAAAAATAAAAATTGCAAGTACATAGGAAATCATATATTGGAGAAAATGTTGCAAATATTTTAAATAGAGAACAAAACTTGAAAAATGAAAATTTACAATATAAGGATAAATAATTGTAGACCCAACTTCTAAATAAAATATCCAATCCAAATAAAAGAAACAGCAAAACAATGAAAATTGCTAAAATTATACTAGCTTCTAACTGTATTCTTAAAGTTCGAGATTACAAATTTCAGCTTAAAATCCCACCTTTTTTATTCTTGAACCAAAAAATAAATTAAAAAAATAAACAAATTGAAGTTAAGTATATTAATTGGCATGGCTCAATGGAAAAATTACTGATTGAATAAGTGAATCAATCACTTAAGAGAATACAACAGAAACAAGAAATGACAATTCAAAATCTGGGAAAACAAGTTCCAAAAATTGAATAAAAGCTTGAAAATGAGATTTTAGATTCAACAAAATTACCTTTTCCAGCAGGGGTTTATCTTCTCTTTTTTTTTTCTTTTTTTTTTGTAAGTGAAATTTTTTGAGAAGTTTTTACAGGTGGGGATTATGTTAAAACCACAGAAAGTATATTGGGATTGCTGAGCATAAGGCAGCTAATGAGGGAGGAAGAAAATGAGCACATTATGAGGACAGTAGGTATGTGTCTATATATATATATATATATATATATAATAACTCTGTCCAGTCTCCACTTATTTTTTACTCACTCCGGTTCAAAATAAGTGATTTTTTAGCTATTTTTACACAAATTAATAAATCCACTTTTTAACATTAATTAGCAATGAAATTAACTATATTAACCTTTACTATTTCTTCACATAAACACTCCTAACACATACTCCAACACTATTAACTCCAAGAGCAATATAGAAAAAAAAAATCACTAACACTCCTAACACATACTCCAACACTATTAACTCCAAGAGCAATATAGAAAAAAAAATAATTAATTCATTCTTGAAATCTAAAAAATTACTTATTTTGGACAACAAAAAAAGGCCAAAAAATCACTTATTTTGGACCGGAGAAAGTAGTAATTTTTTACTTAACCTCTATTTTTAATTATATTATATATTTATAATTTGAGTCTTGAAAATAAAGAAATCTTATAAAAAAAAAGGTTTTCTCTTAAATGAACTATTTCGATGCAAATTTAAATTAGTCAACCAATACATAAATCGTCCATTGAATAAGTACCTAGTCATTAGAATCCAAATAGTGACCTATTAATTGCTCTTCTCTATTCCTGTGATTTAAAATTTATTAAACTACTAACAAAATTATGTACTTATATTTTTAGTACGATCGATTGTTTCTTTTGCTTGTTTACCTTATTATCTTATTGTTATTACTCTTTTTTCCATTACTATATCCATTACTATTTTTTTGGGAACAATATTGTCATTATGGTTTTATTGAGCCGAAAGTCTACTAGAAATAATTTTTCTATCTTCACAATGTAGGAATGAAATGTGCGTACTCACTATCCCTCCAGACCCCACTTGTGAGAATACACTGAGTTTTTTTTCCCTTCAATTTGTTAAAAAAATATCTTATTTTTGTTAGAAGTGTTTAATACCAGAAAATTGTATAGGTCAAAATCCAACCGAGGAGATTTAGCACGAGGAAGGTGATTATCGTGAGAATTGTAACTAATCATAGATAGTTCGGCCGAGGTCAATCAGTGGCGAACGGAACAAGCCGTTGAGTGACTCATTAGGCTCGCGGTTTTTTCGGGAATGTCTCATATAAATAGTAGGAAAGATAAGGCAAAGGGCATGTAACATTGCATTTGATAAGAACACTTTTGAAAAACAAGCTCTCTAGATAAATACAAAGAACAACCTTCTGAAAGAGATTCGATCTTTATATTCTGTCCATTATCATTCTCATCACATCCAAGAACGTGACCCATATTATCTTGTATTCTTGTCATTCAGTCACTGCTAGAGGAATAATTTCCTCCACCTCATTCAATATTAGGTGAATTTTCCTCTCTATTTATATTTAATGTCATTTATTACATTCTTGCCTATCATTATTCTCACTCTATTAATAACCACAACATTTAATGTGTATTTCAATAAATCAATATCAAGATGGCTCCTACGTTATCCGCGTGAACCGGCCTTAGATCCAGGGTTATTATTTTTAACTAGCATTAACCCCTTGCCCTTTTATTTAATTAGTTTAACAAAGAGTTTTATACTTTTTGGTCAAACAATATCACAACATTTAAGAAAGAAAGACATAATAATATTATCGAAGTGTTTGGTTAAATTACTCTTATGTCATCTCTGAATGAGTAACTAATTATACATACCTTCTTGAAATAGTAGGATTGAAGTTAATTAGTTAAATTATTTTTTAATGTTTCTTAATTATTTAAAGTGAAAAGAATGAGTGATTTTCTTTTTGGCTATAGGATACATACAATGGACCAAAGGGAGTGGAAACCACAAGTTTATCTACTTTCGTACCAAACTATATTAAATTATTAAAGTAAAGTGTTACATTATATTAGGAGTAATTAATTATGATCAAATGGTGTAGTAAATTTTGTGATACAATGCATGTACAATGAGTGGTTTTATTTTGGGAGAAATTCAAAAATAGTCAGATTTATAACTGGTCGTTCAAAAATAGCTCAGCTTTAAAAGTAATCGAAATTTAGTCACTTTTTATGTAAAGATAAATCTGAGCGAAAACACTGTTCAAAACCCGGAAAATACGCAAGTATATTATACTGGAGTTCCAGCATAAGTATGTTTGAATTCCAGTATATTATGATGGAGTTCCAGCAAGTATAATTGTCCAGTATAATATACTGGAGTTTGGAGCACCGGTGCTCCAGTCTCCAGTATATTATATTGGAGTCAGCAAAGTATATCGGTCCAACATAATATGCTGGAGTTCATACACAGGTACAGGTGCACCGAACTCCAGTTTATTATGCTGGGTCGGTCTCTGTTACAACAAAATAGTGGCGATTTTTTATTGACTTCGTAAACACTGACTATTTTTGAATGACTAGTCCGAAAACTGGATATACCGTACTATTCACACAACTTACACTAGTTGTATGAGACCTCTTTTTATCTCACATCTTTGTAGACCCAGATATGTAATATATGGGTCCACAAAATTCGGGGACCCATATAGTTGTAAGACAAAAAAAAACTCACATAATTAGTATCAGTTGTGCGAGACACAAAATTAAATTTTTCCATGTATAATAGTTCAACAACAACAACAACAACAACCCAGTATAATCCCACTTAGTGGGGTTTGGGTAGGGTAGTGTGTACGCAGACCTTATTCCTACCCTAAGGTAGAGAGACTGTTTCTAAATAGACCCCCGACATTCTTCCCTCCAAGAACTTCCCACCTTACTCTTGGGGAGACTCGAACTCACAACCTCTCGGTTGGAAGTGGGGTCTTACGATCGGAGCAACCCCTTCAATCAAGAAAGTAGTTGGCGTGGCTGCTGACTAGTGACTGGTCCCTTTGATGAGTGGAAAGGTCAGGTTGGGACTTTTGCTGTGCAGACAAAGACACCTGACACTTCGTCATTTGACATCAAACTTCAGTCACGCATTTCCACAAACACAACGTGTCCTCCTTTTTGTCAATCAATCTTTAAATCATCATATTCACTCAATAAAAAGTTGGCAGCGGCTCGACACCGTTCGTTGTGCCTCTACTTTATAGCCGCCTCCTTTTGTTGTTTCTTGGTTGGCCAGTTCTTATAATATACTTCGTTCGGTCCAAAATAAGTGATTTTTTTTGTTATTTTTACACATATTAAAAAATCCACCTTTTAACATTAATTAGCAATAAAATTGACTTTATTCACCTTTACTATCTCTTCACATAAACACTTCTAACACATACTCCAATATTAATTATTCCAAGGGCAATGTAGGAAAAAATATTTAATTCATTCTTGAAATCTGGAAAAATTACTTATTTTGGACCACAAAAAAAAGCCAAAAAATCACTTATTTTGGACCGAAGGGAGTACTTTTTCTTTCTCAATTCATGTGATATTTTTTGTTTTTCAAATTTAAATTTTTTACTTTGATCGTGTACTTGGATATACTCCGTATGACCGACAAAACATAGGTTCTAGCGGTAGAAACAACAATTAATGATTGCATTAAGATAGACAATCCATATAATACCCCTAATAGTGCGATCGTCCCACGGATCCTGCATGAATGCAATGTTTTGTGCATTAGACTGTCCTTTTTTTATCGTGTATCTGGACATAAAATATTTAAGTACTTCAAAATAAAATTTACATATTTAAAAACTACAGAAAAAGTACTATAAATCACATACATTAATAATTCAATATAACTAAAAAAAATATATGAAAAAGTTATAGTCAAAAAAATAATTAGTTTGAGTTTCGAAATTTAAACACGTATCATATAACCCCTCAAGACGCCACTTCAACCACCAAGTGGCGTGATACACTGCGATTCTCTAACATATATAGGTTCATATAACTAGTCAAACGTAATTCATCTAACACGATCGATAATACTATAAGATTGAATGATTGATATGAAGAATCATAGTAATATCTTTTCTTCTTAATATTCTAATGTGATATGTGTATATTTTATTTTGTGTCTCATACAACTGACACTAGTTGGTAAAAATAGCACGGTCTAGCCAGTTTTCGGATTAGTCATTCAAAAATAGCCAGCATTTGTTAAGTCATTGAAAAATAGCCACTATTTTGCCGTAACAGAGACCAGTCCAGCATAATATACTGGAGTTCGGTGCACCTGTGTATGAACTTCCAGCATATTATGCTTGACCTATATACTTTGTTGGCTCCAGTATAATATACTGGAGACTGGAGCATCGGTACTCCAAACTCCAGTATATTATACTGGACCGGTCTATTATACTGAAACTCTAGTATATTAGACTGGAGTTCCAGTATAATGTACTGGAACTCAAGTATATTAGACTGGAGTTCCAGTATAATATACTAGAACTCCAGAATATTACGCTGGAGTATTTTTCCGGATTTTGAACAGTATTTTCGTTCAGATTTATCTTTACATGAAAAGTAGCCAAATTTCGATTACCTTTAAAACTGTGGCTATTTTTGAATGACCACATGTAAATCTGGTTATTTTAAATTTATCCCCACTAATTGTATGAGGCATCTTTTTTGTCTCACAGTTTTGTAGATCCAGAAATGTAAGATTAAGGTCCACAAATTTTGTAAGACAGAAAGGAATTTCATACAAGTAATGTCAGTAATGTGATACACACCATAAAACTTCTCATTCTTCACTAATGAAATTTAAGTGGCGTCTGACTCCTTTCCTAATCTTATCGAAATGATTTGACTTTTTCTTTTTAATAATATCATACGTACGAGGACATAAAAAAATAAACAACACATAGTACTATAATCTAAATGGGAGTCCGGAACCAAAATGTGATTTTTTTTTACTCAAACTATACAAATAAGTGGTTACAAAAAAAGATACATTTTTATATATTGTGTCATATACTGTGGCGCTATACTGTAAAAGCTGACATGGTCAGGTATAACGCCACAATACCTGGTGCTATACATAGCGCATTAATGTA